AAGAAGATTAATAATATATGTAAATATAGACTTGTACAAGTGAGAGATGTCTTTGGTTTGTTTGTTGGATAGGTGTTTGTCTGTTTCTTCACATGCTACCATACAAAACCAACTGCTTTAGGGACAAAAACAAAGTTGCTGGAAAAGCTCAGCTGGTCTGGTAGCATCTGCGAAGGGGAAAACAGAGTTAACGTTTCGGGTCCTGTGACCCTTTCTCAGAACAGGTTTTGGTTTTTGCTTTAGGGATAAGGTATATAAAGATATTTTATGAATAAAGTATATTTTTGAAATAGAGAAAAAAAATCTGGACAATTCAGACTGGTGATGGATGGGGGTATTGGGCTTGTTAGCTGTTTCATGGTTTGCCCTCTGAAATGGTCGAGCAAGTTACTCAGTTTTATCAAAGGGGAACTAGGGATGGGTGATGAAAGCTGGCCTTGCCAGTGGCACCCACATTCCATGAGTGAATAAAAATGCCTTCCAGACTTCAGTCGTCACCCCTCACTGTTGTAAACTCTCTTTTATTACGAGAGGAATTGAATATAAAAGTAAGGATGTTGTGCTTCAGCTATATAGGGCATTGGTGAGACCACTTTCGTACACTGTGTGCAGTTTTGGTCTCCTTATTTGAGAAATGACATAATTCTGTTGGAGTCAGCTCAGAGGAGGCTTACTAGATTGACACCTGCAATGAGCAGGATGTTTTATGAGGAAATGTTGGCAAGGCTGGACTTGTTTCCATTGGAGTTTAAAAGAGTAAAGGGTGACTTGACTGAAGTGTAGAAGACTTTTTTATTCAGTCATGGGATGTGGCAAGGCCCGAAAGCAGTTTGGTTCTGTACAGTAGCATGTGAAGAAACAAACAAACACCGGACTCTATCCAAAATACAAACCAAAGACATCTCTTCCTTGTACAAGACTATAATTACATATATTTGATGCACCGAGAGGGTCTACTAACTGAGCAGAAAGACCTTTGGTAGAAAGACCTAAGACAGTGGTCTGCACCCTTGCCTGCCGCTGCTTTAAGCTTTAGTGCGTTCCTCAGCACATGGTCCTGGGCCTTGGAATATGCCAGTCTCCAACACTTGGTCAAGGTCAACTTCGTGCTCTGGAAAGCCAATAAATTTCAGGCAGACCAAAGAGCATCTTTCACCAAGTTGATGGTCCTCTAGGCACAGTCGATGTTTGTCTCAGTGTATGTCCTATGGAACAGATTGTAGAGCACAGAGTTCTGCATTACAGAACTGTTTGGAATGAACCTTGACAAAAAAAAACACTGCATCTTCCTCCAGACCTCCCTTGCAAAGGCACATTCCAGAAGGAGATATGTGATAGTCTCACCCCAGCCACCACTCCCCCACCCCCAACAACCACCTGTATCATAGTATGCAGTAGTGCAGAGAGTCTGGGCGTACCAAAAGGTTCTCACAGGTAGTGCCCTTCTCACCACCAATCAAATGATCTCTTGGTGCTTGTTGAAAAGTTCTGGTGGTGAGGCATTCTGCCAAATGACTTTGACAGTCTACTCAGGGAACAGGTTCCACCCTCTCCTTCTCCTGCAGGCTCTTGAAGACATTATATGCTGGCCACTTCCTAACCACCACGTCCTGATGGACTTATGGTCAAAGATGTTTAGCTTTGTAATTTTCTCCACAAAGGACAGGTGATAGGGAATGGTCCAACTACTTCAAGTGTTCCACTGCAACGAGGCCGGTCCCATCCATCATGACACCAGGGACAGGTAGACCCTCAGTGCATGGTGACACTTGATGCAGCCACACACAAAGGTGACCATCGGGATGAGGGCAGCATTGGGTACATTCTTCCCCCCGCGATCCAGAGTTTTGTACATGGTGTCCCTGTGGACACGGTCCATCTTAGTCCTCCAGATGAAGTGGAAGATGGCTTGGGTAACTGAATTGTCCAGGTATATTAAGTAACATTCTAAAATGTCCAGTTTTCAGACCAAGTTCATATTGTTGGTTTTGAGTGTTCATTTCTTAGTAAGGTTATGAAGGTTCTACATTGCTGCACTGTTATTACTAAATTATACTGCGAATATACTTTTTAGATCACGGTGGGCAGTAACTGTCTCTTTAAACTGATGATCTAATCTGATATGGCACTTCCTCATGCAGATCAATTTAAACTGATCTCATTCTGTGCTGAGTCAGCTGATTATATTTGGGGCTGCTGAGCCCATGTGAAAAGACCATGAAACATTGGAGGGGAAGTAAGACATTCAGCCCATTGACTCTGCTTCAACATTGAGATCATGGCTGACCTGATAACCTTCAACTCCACGTTCCTGCCTTTTCCTTACAATTCTCAGTTCATTTACTGATTAATGATCTACCTCAGCCTTGAATATACTTAACAACCCAGTCTTGATGGCCCTGAGTGGTAAAGAATTCCACAGATTCACTGACAGAAGAAATTCTTCCTCATCTCTGACTTGCATGTCTAACCCCTTACTCTGAGATAATGTCCTCTCGTCGTAGACCCTCACACAAGGGGCAACAATCTCTTTGAATTTACTCAGTCAAACCCCCTAAGAATCTTGTATTATCATCATAGAATCCCTACAGTGTGGAACCAGGCCCTTCAGCCCAACAAGTCCACACTGACCCTCAGAACATCCCACCCCGACCCATTCCCCCTATAACCCACCTAATCTACACATCCCTGAACACTACAGGCAATTTAGCACGGCCAATCCACCTAGCCTGCACATCTTAGGACTGTGGGAGGAAACCGGAGCACCCAGAGGAAACTCATGCAGACACGGGGAGAAAGTGCAAACTTCATACAGACAGTCACCTGGGGGTGGGATCGAACCCAGGTCCCTGGCGCTGTGAGGCAGCAGCGCTAACCACTGAGCCACCATGTTTTAATAAGGTCACCTCTCGTTCTTCTATACTCCAACCAGTACAGGCGAAACCCACTCAACGTCTGCTCATAAGACAATCCTTCCATACCTGAGATCAGACAAGTGAAAGTTCGCTGGACTGCCTCCAAAGCCAGTATTGAAATTCTATTCATAGATTCCAGATGTGGTCTGACTCCTGCCTGGTATAATCTCAGCAAAATCTTTCTACTTTTATATTCCATTCCCTTTGAAATGAAGGCCAACATTCTATGAAACAGATATAGTTGAGGTCACCAGATGGGAACAGGGTTTCTCTCATGACTGATTAGCCCATTGAAACTCACTATTCACACAGATGCTGGTCAGTTTGACCAATTTACCAGAACTTTTATGGAACAACAGAACCTACCAAATTTCAGCAGAGGGAGGATGGCACGGTGGCTCAGTGATTAGCACTGTTGCCTCACAGCGCCAGGGACCTGAGTTCTGTGCTATCCTCGAGTGAATGTGTGGAGTTTGCATATTCTCCCCATGTCTCCGTGGGTTTCCTCTGGGTGCTCCGGTTTCCTCCCACAGTCCAAAGATGTGCAGGTTAGGTGGATTGGCCACAGAAAATGCAGGGTTATGGGGTTGGGTTTTGGGTGGGAAGCTCTTTGAAGGGGTAATTTTTTTTATTCATTAACGGGATGAGGGCATCGCTGTTTAGGCCAACATTTATTGCCCATCCCTAATTGCCCAGACTGCAGTTAAGAGTCAACCACATTGCTGTGGATCTGGTGCCACATGTAGGCCAGACCAGGTAAGGATGGCAGTTTCCTTCCCTAAAGGGCACTACTGAACTAGATGTGTTTTTCTGATAATCGACAATGGACTCACAGTCATCAGTAAAACCGTAATTCCAGATTTTTAGTGAATTGAAATTTCACCATCTGTCATGGTGGGATTCAAACCCAGATCCCCAGGACATTGTCTGGGTCAATAGGCCAGTGACAATACCACTAGGATATCACTTCCCATGCTGTGACCAATTTATTTCTCATGCCATTCACCATAAGATATAAGAGCAGAATTAGACCATTTGGCCAATTCAATCTACTCCACCATTCCAGCATGGCTGAGATGCTTCTCAACCCCATTCTCCTGCCTTCTCCCTGTAACCTTTGCTCCCCTTAATAATCAAGCAGCTATCCATCTCTGTTTTAATTACGCTTAATAACTTAATGCTGATTTGGGACCTACCCTGTCAATCACCCTGAAGGAACTTTACACGATACAATTTGACCATCTGTCTCATAGAATATAGAAAATAGAACAGTACAGCACAGGAACAGGCGCTTTGGCCCACCATATCTGTTCCGACCATGATGTAACTCTATAAACTCATCCCATCTGCCTGCATGTTCTGTATGGCTCTATACCCTGCCTGTGCATATTTCAGTCTAAACGCCTCTTAAACATTGCTATCCTATTTGCCTCTACCCCCTCCCATGGCAGTGCTTCCCAGGCACCTACTGTGCTCTGTGAAAGAAAAGTTGCCTTGCACATTAAACTTTCCCCCTTGCACCCTAATATTTGGTACTTCCACTCTGGGAAATAGACGCTGACTATCCACACCTGTCACAATTTTATATCCTTCTACTAGGTCGCCCCCTTCAGCCTCCAAACCTTGCGAAAACCATCCAAGTTTGTCCAATCTCTCTTTCAAGCTAATCCAGGCAACACAAATCTATTTTGAACAAAAACAAAAACAAAGTTGCTGGAGAAGCTCAGCAGGTCTGGCAGCATCTGTGAAGGTAAAAACAGGGTCCCCGAAACGTTAACTCTGTTTTTACCTTCACAGATGCTGAGCTTCTCCAGCAACTTTGTTTTCGTTTTTGTTCCTGATTTACAGCATCCGCAGTTCTTCAGGTTTTTATTACAAATCTATTTTGCACCGTCTCATTACCTACATTTCTGGAACTGACCCTTGATGTTTGAACAAAAAATGTAAATTCCTTGCGGTGCCTAATGTTACTTCAAGGCTGAAGGTTTTTTTTGTTGGAGTGGCAGGGCTATTGGAAGACGTTCCCTTAGCTCTTTGTTTACATAGCTGCTCACACAGAAAGCTCACATGATCATTGGAGCTGAGCAGAGCAGGCACTGACGTGCATATTTGCACGTTCTTTTTTTTGAGTAAATGCTTCGGCAGATCGCGGGCAGAAGGACAGAAAAGCAGAGAAACACAGAGAGAAGGAAAGAGCTGAACCGACTGGGTTGGGGAGAGAAACAGAAGGGTAAAGCAGAGTGGGAAAAAGGCACATTATTAGAGAACACCACCAGCTTTCTGGTCCCTACTTGATTGACCGACTATAAAGAGAAAACATTTTAGAAGATAGGAGCAAAAAAAAAATTGTGTTTGTGGGAGAGAGACAGGAAAAAAAAGACTTAAAATGTCAGTTTCCATTGTAGAAGACGAGAGCTTACATGGTGAGTATTGCAAACTACTCCAGAGGAGCTCGTTGTTAGACCTAATGGTGCGGTTTTGTACTTAATATTGTTCAGTGTTGTTGCTGCTTTCAGTTACGAGCATCCTTGTGAGGACAGACAATTGATATCTTTGTTGCCGCGGTGACAAGACGCTTATTTGAGCATTTTTGTGCCTCATTTAAAAAAACCGTCTTTTTGATTTGCAGTTAATATTTCGATTCGGGGTGTTCAAATGTTATGGAGATTTAAATTACCAAATACATTTTCCTTCCAGTCTATCTTGCTGGTTATTTTGCATTCACGCACTTTTTCATGTGAATTGACTGGTGCGTTTTCTGAATTGTGCATGTGTTTTCCTGTGGTGAATTGAATCTGACAGGGGTGAAATGACTGGGTCGTTGTTCGGCTGTGCTACCGTTGCTTTCCGGCTGCTGGCATCTTTATGAATGGGCGAGAGGCTGACAGCAGAGCTGAAGGGGCTGGGCACTGGATAATTTAAAGCGACAGTGTTCCTTCAGGGAAAGAGCTGATACTTCTTTCCATATAGACACCACCCCTCCAATGACCTCCTGACATCCCAAAACACTCTACTTTTGAAGTTGGGGGTCGGCGAGCTCAGTTTGCAACACAGAGTGCTACCAACAGTATGGGTTCAATTATGCCATTGGCTGAGTTTACCATAAAGGACACTCCTTCCTTAACCTCTCCCCTCACCTATGGCATGGTGACCCTCTGGATAAACCACCAACAGTCGTTTCTCTGTCATGAGAGAGCAGCCCTACAGTCTAGTATGACTATGGTGACTTTACCTTTTCTTACTTCTGAAGTGCAGCAATAGAATCAGAGAATCCCTACAGTGTGGAAGCAGGCTATTTGGCCCATTGAGACAACACCAACCCTCAGAAGAGCGTCTCTCGCAGACCTACACCACCCACCCTCCCCTGTCTTTGTAGCCCTGTATTTCCCATGGCTGATCCACCTAGCCTGCACATCTTTGAATACCACAGTGCAATTTAGCATAGCCAATCCAGTTGTAATGTAGGAAATAGGTTACATTTTAGCACATATGTTAGGTCCAACAAATGAGCTGGTGGAATGACAAACAGTTTGCCTTGTAATATGTTGATCAAGGAGTAAACAATAGCCAAGTCTCGATGAGGTTCCTTTAAAGACGTCGTGCTCAGGTCTGATGGGTAGGACTTAGTGACTCAGAGGTACATGCTACTCAATTGATGCTTGGATGGGAAAGCTCGATCCAGGTTTTCTGAAATAAAGTGGTACTGCTCTGTATATACACAAGGATACAAGAGGGAGCATATGCTTCTTCCCAGAGTAGCATTTTTTTATTATTCGTTCACAGGACATGAGATTGAGAGGCAAAGTGATAGAGGTTTACAAAATAAAGAAGGATATAGACAAAGGGAATGGTAGGTGGCTTTTCAAGGTTTCAAGACTAGGGAGCATACTTTTAAGGTGAGAGGAGAAAAATTTAAAAAAGACATGAGAGGCAATTTTTTTTACGCAAAGAGTCGTTGGTGTATGGAATGAACTTCCAGAGGAAGTGGTGGACGCGGGTACAGTTACAATGTTTAAAAGCCATTTGGGTAAGTACACGAATAAGAAATGTTTGGAGGCCAAGCGCAGGCAGGTGTGACTAGTTTAGTTTGGGAACATGGTTGGGATGAGCTGGTTGGACCAAAGTGACTGTTTCCATGCTGTATGACTCTATGACATGGGTTTCGCTGGCTAATGGTCCATCCTGTATGGTCCGATATGGCTGTCCAATGAAAGGCTGAGCCTTTGCCCGTTGGTGTTTGGTAGAATGCAAGGTGATTGTGTTGAAATATATAAGATTATGTCAGTTTATTTCATGGGTGCTGAATTTTCCCCCTCCAAAAGAGAATCTAGAACAAAGGGGCATGATTTAAGAGTAAGGTATTTCCCATTTCCAATGGGGATAAGGAGGAATGTCTTCAATCAGAGAGTTGATAGTCTCTTCCCCAGTGAGCAGTCATTAAATGTATTCAAGACTGCGCTAAAAAGAGTTTTCGTCTTAAACAGAGTCAAGGGTTATGGGAGCAAGGAGGTAAGAAACTGGTATCAGGGCTACGTTTAGATCAGCCATAATCATATTAAATAGCAGAGCAGGTTTGATGGGCTGAATGTCCTTGTCCTGCTCCTGTTTCTTCTGATCCTGTTTGTGATGTGGTGATATCAGGTTTACATTGGAGAGAAAATCTTGACAGCTGCAGTGCTGTGTATGTAGAGTGTTGCACGATATTCTGTACTGATAGCAGATATTCTGTGCAACTGCTTGCAGCAGATCAGAAAACCTGTTAATCTGTCGAATGGTATGAAGTTGTATCTCTCTGAGATAACACAGTCTAATAGCTGTTAAGCAAACAGTGCGTGAGATCAGAGTTTACTGCTTCTTTAGGTTATAGGTCAGAAAGGGGGGTGTTTCGAGTTATTTTTCAAGTCTGACTGATGAACCCAGTCTTTAGTTATATATATTTTGTCTCCCGTGCCAATCCATTGCTGAGGAACCCTTCTCTGTAAAATATAATTGCTCGTTTGAAAAATTTGGGGAAATATGACAGGGAATGCATGTTGATATGCCCTGTTAATATTTATGAATATCTTAAGTGACAACTTGATGCATATACATGTGAAAAAAAACTTTGCAGGGGTTTGGAGAGAGGGGGTGGAGTGGGATTAATTGACTTGCTGTTTAACAAAGAGCTGGCATAGGCATGATGGGCTGAATAGTCAGCCTCTGTGCTATCTGTTGCCATGGTGGTTTCTACGGAGTTCTCCCTGTCAACATCATCTGAAAATACTCTTGTACTAATTTGCCTTGTCCCTATTGGTTTCTGTTTGGAGTAATAACATGAGATTGCCTTGTCGGGGCCATGTAACTTTATTTACTTCTGTGAGATCTCCTTTAACCATCTTATCTGGAGACTGTAAAGTTGCACTAATGTTTTTACTCAGTGATTTCTCTTACTCATGATTTATGATCTCTGAACTCTCCAATGCTATAGCCTTTTACAACCCTTTGCATAACTAACTCATCATTTACTGTCTGTTGTTTGCAGTTGACCTGTTCTTCAAGGTTCATCAAGCAAATATCTGAAATGAACAACAGTTTTATTGTTCAGGAACAGCGTGCAGTGGGGTATTTGTCTATCTGTTGCTCTGAATATTCTACCTGAACGGAGACATTTTATACCTGTCAGCAATAAAGTGAACAGGCTCGGGCTGTTTGCTGTAGAAAAGGGTGGGTGGGGGTGCTGTGCATGTCCCGATTTATCAGATCATGCAAGTGTTTGGTAAGATTAACGTAGAGAATATGCTCTTACTTATGGGGATACTGAAACAACCAGTCATAAATATAAGAGAGGTGCCAGTAAATCAAATAGGGAATTCAAGAGGCAACACATTGTGGAGCTGGAGGAACACAGCAGGCCAGGCAGCATCAGAGGTGCAGGAAAGGTGATGTTTCGGGTTGGGACCTTCTTCAGAAAGGGAGTAGTAAGAATGCGTACTCCATTGACATAAATACATTTAGTTGCAGTAAATAAGACGGTTGCATTTTAAAGGGGAACCTGGTGTAATGGAGCCTCCAGTGTCACGTGTCAACAGCGTGGGAAGGTGCCGAGCAGGGGAGCTCGAGCAGTTGTGGCAGAACCTCCACCAGCAGGCGGCGACAGTGAGGGAGGGCAGCTGACGATTTGAATGAAGTCTGTTTGGAAAATACACTGTCTTTGTGGGGAGCAGGGCAAATGGGAAGAAAGAGCTGAGACAAGGGATTTCTCAACCCCATGTCAACCACAGGTTTTATTCCATGTATACACTGGAAATACTTATATTTTTTCACCTTAAATTCTCTTCATTGTAATGCTAGTGCAAAACAAATCACTATTCCATGCTTTTTGGGTCTTCCGTGTGTTTGTAGTTCTAGTTAAATTTCTGGCATAGATAGCAGGATTCTGCAGCATCGAGTCATGGTGGAAGAGTTTGAAAGTTGCTTGGCCAAGATGGCAGAGGAGCTGAAACTCTCAAGGTAACTTAACTGAGGGAGGCTGAAGTGGGTTTGTTAGAGAGAGAAAAAAAACAAAGAACTGCAGATATTGGGAATCAGAAAAAAAATGGAAATAGTAGGAGAAACTCAGCAGAACTTACCAAATTTCAGCAGAGGGAGGGTGGCTCAGTGGTTCAGTGGTTAGCACTGTTGCCTCACAGTGCCAGGTCCGCTACGTTTTCCCAGCAATTTCAGTTTTTGTTTGGAATCATTAGGAGCTTAGGTAATTGTCCAACATAGACAGGAATTCTCCATGTGCTTTCCCTTGATGCTACAGAACGATAAAGCATCATTCCTGATCGGATATTCTATTTGTCAGGACTACGAGACGAGCAAGATTCAGGGGCAGACCAGAAACACCCAATAATCCAGCGATGGAAGATTGGATTGAGGATATGCAGCGGGGACCTCAGTGTGAGTGATGGAACATCTGTACAGCAAAGCCCTTGATGAAGTATGGGGAAGAGGTTAGGGATGTTCAAAGAAGTTCTCAGCAGATCTTTGATGTACCTATAAGGGGCAGGAGGAGCCTGATACAACTATGGCCAAGGTTTTATGAATGCAAGCAAGCTGACTGGGAGGAGCTTGTCTCCGTGTTCCTATAGGTGTCAAAGTTGTTCAGTCGCATCATCCTCCTGTATCCCTCTTTACGAATCAGCAGAGACAGATACTGAAGACCTGCCATGTGGAAGCAGTGAGAGGAGACTTAATAGTGACAAACCTCAATTATCTTTATTTCAAGCACAGGATCGCATCATCCCCAGATCTTGGGGAAAGAATGGACTCCTAAGATGAGGGAAGAGGGTTCTGTCAGGATGGTAATTATCAGTGTAAACCTCAGAATGAAGAGACAGGTTGAACAGATCTCTGCACAGCGAGTACAGATCCAGGAGCGAATCATGGCGGATGCTGGAAT